GCAGGCAGGAAGTGGGGGCAGTCTCTCTTCAGAATGGGTCCCCAGTACCTGTAGGGGACCATGAGGTGGAGCAAGGTGGGGCTGGTGGCTATAGTTTCTTCATGCAAGCTGTCTCCCCCAGCCCTGTCCAGGCTATGGGAATCAAGACAGCATTGCCTGCAGCTGAGCTGGGCCTGTACTCCCTGGTGCTGAGTGGAGCGCTGGCCTATGCTGGCCGTGGTCTCCTTGAGGCTTCACAAGGTAATATCTGGGCCCCAGGACAGGGGTTAGGGGCTTCTCCCCCTGGGGGCTCCAGGGTTCCAGCCAGCAAAGCCAGAAACTTATAAGACCCAGGGTACTCCCTAGACCCTGGAGATTGGGCTAAGCCGGGTACAGCCACAGGGACAGAGATACAGAGATACAGTCAGGGACATTCAGAGACTCAGGGATACCATGAGGGACCTGGACCCAGATATACAGACAGACCCAGAGAGAAGCAGATAGACGCAGAACAAAAAAGAACCAGCCCCACTGCCACTCCTGTCTCCCCAGAGTTGAGGGAGGCCTTCTCCATGGGAAAGGCAGGGGAAGGGATATGCAGGGCCCCTCTTCCTGAGGCCACACTCTGTTCTCAGATGGGGCCCACAGGAAGGCCTTCCGGGAGTCTGTGCGGCCCGGCTGGGAGTACATTGGCCGGAAGATGGTAGGTCCCCCAAACCCCAGAGTCCTGACACGGGAACGTCTCTCCCATCCCAAACCCTTCTCTACTCTCCACTATCTATTCAGATGGTCTCATGCTAACAGAAGGCACCTCACCACGAGACTGAGGTCTCTGGCTTGAACTCTTAGGCTTTCAACTTCTCCACAGGCCCCTCCTGTGTCCATTTAGGAAACAGGTCACAGCCATGGAGATGTGCTTTGGCAGGAGCCTCCAGCAGCACCCTTCCCAGGAACAAAGTAGTAATGTGGGGGTCAGGCAATGTGCTGAGCAGAGGCACATTTGGAGGGGCAGGGCAGCCCACGTGGGGCCCTTTATCCCTCTCTACTTATTCATGCGGGGACCTCAGCTGCCGCTCTCACATAATGCCTAAGAACATGAGGACTGGGGAGGTGCTGGAGCTGTGACCAGTAGGTGCCAGCCCATCTTGCCCCTCTCCCACCCTGACTGCCCCACCCCCTCCTGCCCGGACTGCCCAGGACGTGGCTGACTTCGAGTGGGTGATGTGGTTCACCTCCTTCCGCAATGTCATTGTCTTCGCCCTCTCAGGACACGTGCTGTTTGCTAAACTCTGCACCATGATTGCCCCCCAGGTGAGTGGGACCTGGGCTACCCAGCCTCCCCCACCCACTCCTCTATAGCCATAGGTTATGGGAAGCCTACCCTGGGGTCCCACCCCCTCTTACACAGACAGCTAAACTGAAGCCTCCTCCCTGCCCACAGCTCCGCTCCTGGATGTATGCTGTGTATGGGGCTCTGGCTGTGGCAGGCACAATGGGCCCTTGGTACCTGCTGCTGCTGCTTGGCCACTGTGTGGGCCTCTATGTGGCCTCCCTCTTGGGCCAGCCCTGGCTCTGTCTCAGCCTTGGCCTGGCCAGCCTGGCCTCTTTCAAGATGGACCCCCTAATCTCTTGGCAGGTGTGTACTGGAGTGGTACAGGGGTGGAGGGTGCAGGGCTACAATCCCAACATCTCACTTCATCCAAAGCCCTGGCTGCCCAAGTGTCCCAAGGATTTCCTTTACTTTTCCACACCCAAGTCTTTGGGTGTGCCCTGTCCATAAGGTGATCACCTGCACCAAAAGAACACGTCCAGCTTGTCCTCTGCCGTCACCTTATTGGGATGGAGCAGTGGCCAGTGCTCACTGGCTTTGGAAGAAAGAGAAGGGTGGGACCAGGTGGGCCCTCTGGGAATCTGAAGGGCTTTTCCCAGAGACAGAGGCACCCAGGTGAGCTGGTGGCGTGTTCTTTCCCCTCCAGAGTGGGTTCGTAACGGGCACTTTTGATCTACAAGAGGTGCTGTTCCACGGGGGCAGCGGCTTCACAGTGCTGCGCTGCACCAGCTTTGCGCTGGAGAACTGCGCCCACCCGGACCGCCACTACTCCCTAGCCGACCTGCTCAAGTACAACTTCTACCTGCCTTTCTTCTTCTTTGGGCCCATCATGACCTTTGATAGCTTCCATGCCCAGGTGAGAGGACTCTGTGTGCTCCCACAACATGGCTGGATCTCCCTTTTTGGACGGGGGGGTCCCATTTCAGATAGGACTCCTCAGACAGGATAGAATATCCCCATCCACAGGCATGGTTCCAGGATGAAAGCATGTCTTTCCTCCCTCTTCAGTCCCCAAGCTGGGGATCAACAAGGATCACAAGATGGAGACATGGCTCCTCCCTCAGACAGGACTCCTAAGTCATGGATGTTCCCCTCCCACTCAAATTGGACTCTCAGAACAGAATTGGGTCTGCCCAGGCTGACTGGGGCCCCCCCAGACTCCAGAGAGGGCTGTGTCTCCACCCTTAAGCAAAACCCCTGGATGAAGCCCTGTCTCCTCCCATGCCACTCAGCCAGGGCTTCCCAGGCAGGGCTTGCCTCTCCCTCAGACACTTTGCATCCCCCAGGTGAGCCAGGTGGAGCCAGTGAGGCCTGAGGGTGAGCTATGGCGCATCCGGGCCCAGGCGGGCCTCAGTGTGGTGGCCATTATGGCCGTGGACATCTTCTTTCACTTCTTCTACATCCTCACCATTCCCAGTGACCTCAAATTTGCCAACCGCCTCCCGGACAGCGCCCTCGGTGGGTCCCCAGAGCAGGGACCAGGGCTGGGCTGCCACCCCAGGAAGACAGACCCATTGCACTCCCATAGAGTCACAATTGGGGGAGCTGAGGCCCTAAGGGCACAGAACCTAAGGGTGGGAGAGCAGGGACTTATCCTTAACTACATGAGACTTGGCATTAGCTCTGTCTGTGAGGCAGTGGCAGTAGCCCATAGCACCTGCCCTGCTGCACCAGGGACTCCATAGGCAGGCTGGGCCTGGTGTCTCCCTTAGGAAGTGATGAGATGGGGTCTCTGTAGAGATGGCCCAGGAGCAAGGACTCCCCAGCACCTGGGAAGAGAAAGTGTCCATGAGAGAAGGCCAATGTCAATGCCTTCTCTGGGAATTGAGGGTTGGTATGGGGAAGTGGACATGGTAAACCCCAGGCAGTGATGGTGCCCTGTCCTCAGCTGGTCTAGCCTATTCAAACCTGGTATATGACTGGGTGAAGGCAGCTGTCCTCTTCAGCGTTGTCAACACTGTGGCACGGCTTGACCACCTGGACCCACCCCAGCCTCCAAAGTGCATCACAGCACTCTACGTCTTTGGGGAAACGTGAGTGCTGGTGAGGGAGGTGGGCCTGGGATCCCCACCTTCCCCTGGCCTCTTCCCCCTGCCCTGGGAGCCCTGCTCCTGGCAGATTCACACCCATCTGCTCTCTCCTCACAGGCACTTCGACCGTGGCATCAATGACTGGCTTTGCAAGTGAGTTGAGGGATGGGGGTTGTCACAGCCACCCTTCCAGGTGTCTGAGCAGGGCAGTGACAAGATCAGTCTGTTTCTAAAGATCACCACCCCAGGGCCAGAGGAAGCAAGGAGGGCAGTGACAAGGTTGTAGCAGAGGTCAAGGTAAAAGACACCAAGGTCTGGACTTGGGTAAGGGCCTTGCAGGTGGAGAGAGGACCCTTTGGCAGAACTTCAGTTGTAGGAAGAAGGAGATGACTCCCAAATTCCTGTCTGCAGACTACGAAGGTGGAGAGGTTTCCAGAGAGAAATTCAGTTGAGGAATGTCTAGTTGGAATGTAGGTAACATCCCTGTGGAGAGTTAGGAAGGTGGTTGTATCTGAATATCTGAGGTTCAGACAAGCCTGAAGGACTGATGAACCTCTGAATATTATGAGTGTGGGAGCCTGGTCTTCTGGCTTTGGGAGTGGATAAGACCCGAGGAGATTAAGTACCGAGACGAGGAGTGAGGGGGATGGCCGAGATTGGGCCTGCAAGGACTCTGGTTGGAGGGAGAAGGAAGAGCTGGCAGAGGGACTGACAGGAGTGACAGAGACAGAGGAGACACAGAATCAAGGCTGTGTGACATCCCGGAAGCCAAGAGAAGACTACCCAGGCATGGCTGGTCAGCTGGGTCAGATGCTGCTCAGGTCACGGAAGCTAAGGATTAGTGTTGATGACATATAGGTTTTCTGCCTTTTGCTGGAGACACAGAGGTAGGTGAAGTGTGAAGGGAAACTGAGGAATTACAGGGGAGTGTGCGGGTGACTCCTGAAGAAGCCTGGGACTGAAGGGACAAGACAGATGAGTGGCTAAAGAGGGAGGGAATGTTTTAAAGATAGGAGACAATGAAACGTGCCCAGGGGAATTATTCAACAGAGAAGCTGGTGTTTCAGGGTAGAGTGGTGACTGAGAAAGGAAGCAAAGTCCCCAGGGAGAGAGGAGGCAATGGCATCCAGGTCCAGGCACAGGCCTGGCTTCGGGAGGAGGAGAACCCAGGTGGACACAGAAGAATGGCAGGTTAGTGTAGAAAAGTAAGAGAATCCAGGTGAAGGCTTCAGTCATCATCATGAAGTAAGCCTCACGGTCTTCAGTGGAGAACTGTGGGGTTGGGGGCAGGGAAGGAGACAGCATCCAGGCCTCCCCACCCTGCCTGCACCACCGGGGGCCACACCACCCACTCCCACTTGCAGGCGGGATAAGGGCACAGCAGCCATCACAGGGGCCAGGAGAAGATGCCGACTAGAGGAACCTTGGCACTGAGAGGTGGGGTGGTGTTGGAGGTAGTGAGTGTACAGACTCCAGTGTGTGAAGACCTCTGATTTTCTCCCTCAGGGCTTAGCTGCTCAGGTGCAGGTGAGGAGAAAGTAGGCGACTGGGCTCTCTCAGATGAGTGAGAAGGAGGAGGTGAGGGATATGGGCTTCTGGGTTACTTACAATGATGACTCATTGGAGGAGCAGTGACCTGAGATCAGCCTGTTAGGGAAGGTGGTGAAGATGATCACAGGATCAGTGGGACTGAAGAACTGAAGCTGGTTCAGAACAGAAGGTCAGGAGGGGCTGGGCAGAGTGGGAATTAGGAAGGAGTGAAATTTTAAGTGGTGACAAAGTTGGGGTGTGGCCATGGGTGTGGGTGGCTGAGTTGGAGTGGAGAAAAAAAGACATTGAAAATGAGGAGGTCACAGAATGGAGAGGCTGGTTACTCAATGGGTTTCCCATTGAATTTATTTAACAAATATTTATTGAGCACCTACTATGTGCCAGGCACTGTTCTAGACACTGGGGATACAGCAGTGAACATGGCAAAGACCCTGAACTCATGGAGCTTACAGTCTAGTGGGGAGAAACAGACCATAAACAGGTAAACAAACACAAATTAGATAATTTTAGAGAGTGGTAAGTGTTCTGACGAGAGTAAGACATGTAATGGGATTGAAGTTGGCAGCAAGGTAGAAGCTTCTTTGACCGGGGTCTGGGCGGGCTTTTCTGAGGAAAATGCTGTTTTAAACAGACTTGAGTAACAAGAAGATCTGGGAAAGAGAATTCCAGGCAGAAGGAACAAGAAGTGCATAGTCTTTGAAGCACAAACCGACTGAGTGTGTCTAAAGGCAGCAAGGCCAGCAGGGTAGATGAGTGGACAATGGTGGCATGAGGTCAGGAGGGAGCAGAAACTAGGTGACATGGGCTCTTCCAGACAGAGGAAGGCAGTTGAGCTTATTCTGATTGAAATGGAGGTCACTGGGAAGGAGGGTTTAAATCATGGCAGTGATATGACCTGAGCTACACTCTTAAAAGCTGCCTCTGTCTGCTGTGTGGAGAATGGACTGTAGTGGCAAAGGCGGAAGTGGGAAGACCACTCAAGAGGCTCTTGCAGTAATCAGTGTGAGAGGAGATGGCCACCCTGACCAGGGAGTGGAGGAGGTGGTGAGCACTCCCTAGTGGAGTCAGGACTGAGAGGAGAAACAGAATTCTCTGGCTTGCTGGGCTGTGGGCCACAGGGGAAACTGAGAGTCCAGGCAGGCACCAAGGCTTACAGCCTGAGCAACTGAACTGTGGTGCCAATAACTGAGTTGGGAACGGAGGGTCTGGGGCAAGGACGAAGGACTCAGTCATCCGAGTGAGGTATCTGTAGCAGTTGGAGAGACTGGGCTAAAGACATAGATTTGGGGGTCATTAGTGTAGAGACAGTATGTGAAGTCTTGGGACTGGATGAGATCAGCTGGGGAATAAGTGAACAGAGCTAGGGAGGACATATGCTGTCCAAGGCTGAGCTCCTCCCCCGCCCCCCAGCATGAAGCTGAGCAGAGAAGCAGCTACCAGAAGTCAGGGACATTGACTGTGCCCAGAGTGACCACGCTAAGGAGGGCTGCCTGTCTCATACCTGCTCCTTCACACACCCCCTTTGGCCCCTTCTCCTGTTTTCCTGCAGATACGTGTATGACCACATTGGTGGGGAGCACTCCCAGGTGATCCCAGAGCTGGCAGCCTCAGTGGCCACATTTGCCATCACCACTTTGTGGCTCGGGCCTTGTGACATTGTCTACTTATGGTCATTCCTTAACTGCTTTGGCCTCAACTTTGAGCTCTGGGTGCAGAAGCTGGCAGAGTGGGGGCCCATAGCACGAACAGAGGTAAGCAGGGAAGGTCTGGGCTGGGATTGACTGGCTCACGGGGAGGACTATGGGAACCACTGCTTTGTGGGGTTCTCTAAACAATTGCCTCCCAGTCCCAAAACTTTCTCACTGCCACTCTCTGGTCATCAGGACAATGGTTCATCCTGTGGGAACCTGGCCCTCCCCCTTTCTTCTGTGGGGAATGGATCACCTGGGCCTGGTTGTGCTGGTCAGGCCTTGCCCACTCTGCATCTCAGTTTCCCCATGTTTAACAATAATGGAGAGTTGGCCTGGGACTCCGAGACCCAGGCATATCCCCAGGACCTGAGTGATGGGCAAAGCCGCAGACCAACTATGTCCTCTTTCCTTTGGGCCTCTTGTCCTGCTTCCAATGCTGTCCGGGACTGGGCAGGCCTCTCTGTCAGAGCAGATGTCCCGCAGGGTCCGGGCCCTCTTTGGGGCCATGAACTTCTGGGCTATCATCATGTACAACCTTGTGAGCCTGAACAGCCTTGAGTTCACAGAGCTGGTGGCCCGGCGTCTGCTACTTACAGGTGAGAGACAGGGGTGTGGGGATACAGAATGTGCCAGGTATCACTCTCTAGGACTTCTGAAATGCCCCCTACCCTGCTCAGTACACTAGAGACTTGGCATGGCAGGCTGGTCGAGTGGGGAGAGGGCTGAGAAGATTCGCTGAGAAGGGGGTGCTGCTCCTGGGTATTGATGACTTCTTCCTCACACAGGGTTCCCACAGACCACACTGGCTGTCATGTTTGTCACCTACTGTGGTGTCCAGCTGGTGAAGGAGCGTGAGCGAACCCTGGCACTGGAGGAGGAGCAGACACAGGACAAAGAGAAGCCGGAGTAGGTGGGGGTGGGGGAATAGGCTCTGCTCAGCTATTCTGGGGCCCCAGGCGCAGGCCAGGCCAGATGGGGCTGACTGATAGAATAAAAGACTTTTCTACCACAGCTTGCTGTTCCTTGCCCCTTTTCCCAGTCTATGCTGGCTGAGGAGCTGGGGGCTCTAGGCCTCAGGGAGGGCCACACACACTGTGGAGACACCACATGGAGGGCAGAGACCACCGACCCTGATGACCCAACCACAGAATACTACAGCCTAGAATCTTCAAACCACCAGCTTACTGACGTGGCTCCTGATTCCAGACTCTGAGCTGCTTGCTCAGAAGGCACTTTATTCTTCTTAACGAAGGAGATGTTCTGCTTTAAGGTGTGCTTGATGAGGACACTCTCATCTGACAATAAGGAGACCGAGTCCCGTGGGGACTAACACGGCACACACTACTAGGCTGGGCCAGGGCCAGGGCACACCTGGGATCCATCCCTGTGGTTCTGGCTCATGGATCAAGAAGACCCAGAGGGAAATGGTAACTCTGGAGAAGAGTCTAGTTTCTTAGCCCCGCCAAAAAGCTAGGACAAGGCAGTGATTTCCCTTTCCTGGCTGACGCAGCCCCTTGTGCACCATAACTAGATCCAGGTAGGCTCTGGCCTCCTCCTTGGAGCCCCCACGAGGCCAGGTCTGTGAGGGCCGCAGGGCGAGAAGGATGCTGGCTCAGGCCCTCTGGGCTGGTCACATCTTGGTCAGGCGCAGCACATTGAGCCGCACAGGCAGGAAGGTGGCACCTGCTGCGTAGGCGATCTCCCGCAGGACACCCTCCCACTTCTTCTCATCCTCATTATACCTGGAGGGGGGAGTGGGAAGAGCTTGGTCAGCTGAGTCCACAGTGGAACCCAGCCAACAGGGGTGGCCGAGTGTGCTAGGCCCATCGCCAGGAAGTTTCTCCAGTGCAAGGCCTGTCTCTAGGTAGATCTACTCCTGGGAAAGTCCTATGTTCTGGGAAAAGAAATCTCCAGAAGAAGATCTGCCATAAAGAACATCCACCTCACATTCTAGGAAGGGCTGTCCTCTCTGGGAAAGGCCACCTCTCAAGGATTCTCACATTCCTCAGCATCCACCTCCCTCCAGGAAGGTATACACCCCACACAAACCCCAGTTTCCTCCCCTTGAGAGTCTCCACACTCCATCTCCAAGAAGCCCTCTCCCAATAGCTCTGCTCCCCACAGGCTGTCTGCAGCATTGAGGGTAAAACTCCTTTCTCCTAGCTCCAGGAAGGGGCATCCACAGAAAGCAATGGCTCTGAGAAGCTGGGGTCCAGCTACTTCCCAGTTCCCAGTCCTGGCCTCAGCTCTCCCTCCAGACCAAGCCCCCAGAAGACAGGGAAGGGGGAAGACTGGATGCTACTGGGCCCTATTTCCATGGGTCTGTGCCCTAAGCATGGGCTCAGCTCCTGTCTGCACCACTGTTGGTGCTCTGCAGTGGCAGGGGGTGCCCTATGTGCAAACCCAGACCTTTCCCAGCAGATGAGCAAGGGGCTGAGCAGGGGTCCCTGTAGGAGGGATCCGCTTCACTCCAGATGAGCTTGCCAGGTGCCTTGGGCCCCTGTATAGTGCTATGAGGTGTGAGCCTTTCTCCTGGTTCCCCTCTTGCCTCCCTGGGGCTGGGCTCACCTCCAGATGTCGTTGAGCTCTGTAGGTACCAGCTCTCCCGACTCAGTCTCCAGTGTGGCAAAGCCACTGAGGGCATAGAGGGTGCCTGCCAGGCTGACCAGGCTGAGTGAGCTGCGCTCCTGCGGGAAGGCCTCAAAGGGTGCCCACCTGTGAGGGGGTGGTGAGGAGGGGCATGACTGGGGGCCTCAGCAAACCCAGAGACCATCAGGCCACCAGCACCCACAACTTTTGCTGCATCCCTCTGCAATCTGAATCCCAGCATAAGCTCTTGTTTTCTAACCCTCTTGGGAGTACCTACCTGGTGCCCCCACCTGGGACTAAGAGCATCCCAACCTGGCTCCCCTTCCCTCTCCCTCTGGTGGGCACTTCCCTCCATAGTCTCTAGCTCCTCCCCTTTCCCTTCCTTATCTCCCTGTTATTCCATTCAAGCTACCTAGCCAAGGCCACCACAAATGTCCCCACTCCCCCCTCCTCTCCTGAACTAACTTCTGCTTGCCAACTCACAACCCCAGCTCCCGGCAGGTCCCGGCCTTGTCCTGACACAGTCCTCTTGCCCCTTAGTGGCCAGCAATGCCCCATCCCTCACCTCCTATCCATCCCTCTTCCCACACATGGCTTTCTCAAGTCCTCTCTAGTCCTCTGGCTCCTGCCTGGGGCTTTCATCCCCACCTTCCAAAACTACTCTCACTGAGGTTCATGGTCACTACAGGGCTGTGAAATCCAGGGCCCACAGCACAAACTACTGCTGATAACTTACACCAGCTACCTTTCAGGCTCACCTCCTCAGACTCCTTCCTGGGTACCAACCTGTCTCTACCATCCCTCGGGGCATGGGCCTCAGCTCCTCACAGTTAACACCCACTCTCCTAGGAGAGCTTGGCCCCTCTGTGGGCTGTTGACCCTAGATCTCCGCTTCCAGCTCAGCCCCCTCCCTGCCCCAGTGGGCTCCTCTTGGACACCCCCGAGTACCTCAAATCCATGTCCTACCTGGACCCTCACTTTCCCTGTCTCACCCCAGTGGTTCTCCAATGAATGGCTTCCCACCTTCACTCAAAAGCACCTCCTTCTCCCGTCACTAACCCTTACAATCCAATCAATTGCTAGGCCTATTCTACCTCCTAAACTCTTGCTACTCAAATATGGTTTGTGTACCAGGAGCCTCAACATCACCTGGGGGTTGGTTAGAAATACAGACTCTCAGGCCCGTCCTGTGCCCGGGAATCTGCATTTTAACATACTCCTGGGGGAGAGTCTCATGCTCATCACGCGGGGTGAGAAGCCCTGGCTTAGGTCTCTCTCCAACGCATCCTCGCAGCCCTATCCCCACTGAAGATAGGCATTTTATTGCCCTTCCCCTGAGGCCCCCTCCAACTCCAGCCCCAGGCATCCCACCTCCCTTGACCCCTCACCCCACATTCAGCCTGAGCAATGCCTTCCCTTCATGGGGCTCTGCCTCTTTTCTCCCAACTCTTGGCACCAAGTTTTCTACACCTGGGCGTCCTTCTCCCACCTGCCCTCATCCCTTTTGCTGGCTGAGTGCAACTGTCTGTCAGCTCAGTTTTCTCTTTCTTGATGTCCCTGGCAGGGAAGCTTCCCTCTTGTTCACTGCTGTATCCTGCCACTGCCTGAAATCAGTCCCTGAACGAGGACCCCACATCCCCTCCTCTATCCCCCAGAGCTCCCTTTGCAGACTAGACTGGCCCTAACCCTTGCCCACCCTGCAAGGGGAGCCCCCCACCCCAGTCACTGCTGATCATTAGAGAGGCACAATTTCTGTACTGATGTCTAAATGTAGCAGTGGAAACCCAAAACAGAGACTACAGCTCCCGCCAGGTCCCACACAGGCCCAAAGCCACACAGCTGTCCCTAGGGGGAGGCGGGGCGAGCTGCCATACTTGTTGTCTGCGATGCTGTACACCTCAGCAGAGCTGGTCAGCCCTGTGTCGGTGACCCCAGCCACCACAAAAATGCGGCCGTCATGGATGGTAGCACCAAAGAGGGAGCGGGCAGTCTGCATGGGTGCCAACTCTTTCCATTCGAACTTCTTGGGGTCATAGACGCACATTTTCTTCAGGCACTTCCTGTGGAGCGCGGGTCGGTGAGTGCGGAGAAGCGGGAGCAGGGCCACCCCTTCCACTTGCCCGGGGGAGACCTGCTTCTGCTCTCTGCTGCAGACTCTCTGCAGGCCCGAGCCTCACCTGTCGCTGCCTTTGCCGCCAACGACGTAGACAAGGTCCATGTGGGAGAGCACTGCGTGGCCATACACGGCGTAAGGCAGCGGATCCGATTCACCCCATTTGAACGACCTGGAGGAGACCGGTGGGGGCGGGCACCGGGCTCAACACGCGCTCCGCCCTTCTCTCACCCTCCCGACCACATCTGGGGTGCACCCGATGCTCTGCTGGCCCTTCCCAGACCTCTCAGTCCCTCGCACCCTCCCACCCCTCAGTGCTACTCACCCTCACCTCCGCCCTAGGCAGGGGCCTCCCGGCCTTCCCCTCCCCGACCCTCGGACGCCCCTCCCGGACCTTCAGCCCTCCCCTCCCCGACCCTGGGACCCCGCCTCCCGGACCCTCGGACCTGCCCTCCCTGACCCTCGGACCCCGCCTCCCGGACCCTCAGCCCCGCTCCCAGCCCCCGCTCACAGTCTGTCGTAGCACAAGACCGAGTCCAGGCAGCGCTCATCGTCCTTGATCTCTCGGCCGCCGACCACGTAGATGGAGTTGAGAGCCTCTCCCAGGCCAAAGAGGCAGCGCGGCGAGGGCAGCGGGGGCATCCCCAGCCACTCTGAGTCTAGGTGGTCAAACTGCGGGCGGAGTTTATCCAGTCAGTTGCCTTCCCCCACCTTACTGCCCCAGCCCAGCCCAGCCCAGCCACCCACCCACCCACCGGATCACAGAGGAGTCTGGGCCTCCAGGTTGGACCAGGCAGCCTGGAAGCAGGCCTGAGAGACAGTGCTCCTCCCCCATTAGGCTCAGAGCTGAGTGCTCCCACCCTGGGTAGGTGCCCAGAGACCACCTTGACAGCAGGGTGATGGGCACCACAGCATATCTGTGAGGAGCTCTGAGGTAGTCCAGCTGTAGCCTTGGCACCTGCCCAGTACAATTCCACGTAGAGGCTCGCCTGCCCCTTGCTCTACACCCCATTCCACTGCCCAGGAAACTTCCAAATACAGGTCTGCCATTCACCCCTTAAAATCTACAGTCTGCAGCCTTGTCCACCTCCAGAACCTTATAATAAAGATTCTTGTGGTTCATCTTTTTGGAAAGTTTTCTGGGGGCTGAGCACTTTATAAGCATCACTTAACCTTCAAATGACTAAGCAGGAAAAATAATATTAGCACTTACAAACAAAGGCCCAGAGAGAATAAATGATGTACCCTCACTGCTGAGGTGGCAACTGGTGGAGCTGCCCTCACTCACCATCCAACTGTAAGGCCTATGACTTGACCCTAGCACCAAGCTGCCCCTCAGTCCTGTCGCTGATCAGGCCTCCCTGAGCACACCACTCACAAATCTCATCCCTGGTTCTGTCCTTTGCTTACCATTCCATAGCCAGAAACACTTCAAATTCCACCCAACTGACAAGGCTCAAACCTACATAGCCAGTGTCCAGAAAATATTCTCTATCCTCTGAGATCTCACAGTCACGCTCCTAACTTGGACTGAGCACTCCACTCTACTCGTCTTTCTTTGGCCTTAGTTTCTTCATCTGAACAATGGGAGGATTAGGCAGGATAGCCCCTTTGTCTGGAGCACTTTTGTTCTGAGCTCCCATCCTGGCCCTCATGCAAAGTCCCTGGTCAGGATCCCTACACTGACCTTATTCCTCCCTGCTGTGCCTGACCCCAACCATGTGCAGGGCCAAGGGCCTCCAGTGTATGCCCCTGAAATTGAGACACTAAGTTATGCCGCCCTTTGGCAGCTGCCTATGCCTGTTCAACCTTTAGGCAAGTGGCTGTCAGTCAACTTCGCGTCTCCATCTCAATCTAGACCCAGTGACATTCCCCAGTGTTGACACAGGTCCTTCCTGGGCCAGAGGCCGCTCCCCAGTGTCCAGAACCCAGTACTAGCCTCCCACACTGGCTAAGCACCTGAAGGAAGTAAGCACTCATAGGGTCCTCTTTGTTGTCCTCGTTGTAGAAGAGGCCCCCAGCCACGAAGACTTGGTTCTCCTTGGTGACCAAGCTGACATGGTTCTTGGGGACCTGGTTGGAGAGGGAGGCACAGTAGCACTCATTGGCTGCGGGATCGTAGGCTACAGCGCCCTCCTCGCTGATCATGAAGATAAGGTCCTGCAGGAACATGCCAAAGCGAAGCGTGTCATTGAGGATCCCGGGTAGGACACATTCGTCCTCCTCGTTCTCCTTGGCTTCGGCTGTGCTTTTGTCGGCCTCTTTGGCTTGGGAGGCGCTTTTGATGGCCTCCTTGGCCCCAGCTGCCTCCTTCCCCTTCTTCTTCTTGCGCAGCATGGTGATGCGGCCCTCGTGCGCATCCTTCACCATCTGCACCTTGCGCAGCAACTCGGGCTGGGCACGTACAAGAGGGTGGCGCTCCACGCGGGTCTCCAGAAAAGTGCGCGGCAACAGGCGGCAGCGCACGCTCTCGAAGACCGTGGGCAGTGCGCGCTGGCGCTCCGCCTGCGCCTCCGCGTCGCCGCTGCCCGCCCACCGCATCACCGCCTCGAACACCGCCTCCTCCTTCTCCACGTTGAGGCCATCACTGGAGATGATGGCGATGAGCTCGTCCGCCGAGAGTCCAAGGAAATCAGCGTCGCGCGCCACCAGAGTGAAGTGCGCACAGATGAAGTCGCGGGCGGCCACCGCGAGGCGCGCGCAGTCGAGCAGGAGGCCGAGGCGGAAGACGGCCAGGCAGTTGGAGAGACACAGGCGTTTCTGCAAGAAGGACACGCAGATGGTGAAGATAGACGGGATCTGGAAGCGGTGCGCCGCGGCGAACAAATCCTGCACACTCGCCTCGTCCAGCGAGATCTCCGACGTGTACAGATAGTTCAGCACCTGGGCCACCACGTCCGGGGACACCTCCTCCAGGCGCAGCTCCCCTGTGCTCTCTGGCTCGGCCAGGAAGCGCGCCCGGAAGTAGGGGCTGCAGGCGGCCAGCACCAGGCGGTGGCACGGAAACTCGCGCTCGCCCACCCGCACCACACAGTCGAGGAACTTGCCGTGGTCCAGCATGTCCTTGAGTCCGTCTTGCAGGAGCGTCTGCTGGTACAATCGCTGCTCCTCCGCCTGCTCCAAGCCCAGCGTCATGGTGGGGGCCTAGAGTGCAGCGACAGTGCCAGGGGGCTCCTCTCTGTACACTTGCTTTCCTGCTGGGGTGCGCTCAGACTGCGCAGCTGTTGGCGCTGGGCTATATATAGAAGTGGCCCCAGCCCTGTAAGGCGAGCCTCCTGCCCTGCACATGACGCACAGGGGACAGCTGGACAGAGGCCCGCTCCCAGGGCAGCTTTGACTCAGCACTGGGGGCTCATCGGTCGGGGGTGGGATATCTGAGCCTTACCCAAAAGATGAAGAACTTGTTACTTCGCTTATAGATGGTAACAGCAAGGATTGACCCTGGAGTCCCTAATCAGGAGGTGTGCCTGGGAGGGAGGGTGGCCCAAGCTCTGACCCTCAGTCCAGATATGGAGAACCCCTCTTTTAGGGTCTCCGTTCCTGCCTTCTTCCGTCCTGGTCCCTCCATCTTCCTCCCTAGAATATACCTCACTCCTGGATATAGGATGCTTGGGTTTCCTGCTCAGAACTTCCTTGCAGCATGCACTCTTTGGGGGGCTCCTTGGCAGGGGGAGGCTTCTTGACCATCTTTAAAATGGGAAGAGCTTTTCCTCTTTCTGCCTCAGCTCTGAGATCCTCCCTTTTGCAAGAAAGCAGGAAGTGCCATAGGCAAACAAGGTCTTGACTTTCCTGTAGGGCCTGGGGCAAGTGAGGTCTCTCTGTTAATCCTCAGTTTTTCCTCCTACACAGTGAGGAGGTGGAGAACCTCAGTTCAGCTCTGCTGAGGTGCCTACGGTTCTAACACTAAGGTGACAGACGTGCTAGAAAATTAATTCCCTAGGATTCTACCATTCTAGGTGTTTAAACCCTGTGTTTATACTTATTGCTTTTGGTCTGTACCTGCCTGGGCCTGAGCCTGCCTGGCCTCGAGGCTCTACACCCTGTCTGTGGTCTAAGGCAGTGGTTCTCAACCTTCCTAATGCCTCCTAATGCCGCCACCCTTTAATACAGTTCCTAATGTTGTGGTGACCTCCAACCATAAAATTATTTTCGTTGCTACTTCATAACTATAATTTTGCTACTGTTACGAATCGTTAATGTAAATATGTGACATGCAGGATATATTTTCATTGTTACAAAGGGGTTGCGACCCACAGGTGGAGAACTGCTGGTCTAAGGGATCAGGGTTGAGGCCTAGGACAGCCGATCTCAATGCCCACCATGCTCTGGAGTCCTGACCACCCTACACTTCTACCTCCACACACATACTCATCAGCCTCATTTACCAAGATTAACTCATTCCCAAAGTGCCAGAGGCTGCAGCTGTGGATTAAATTTAGCCCCTGGGACATGTGTATGAACTGTATGGGGCACTCCTCCATCATTCCTCTGAGTCACTTGTTTATAACCTCCAGCTTGGAGAGAGTGGGGATAGGAGAGAAGACCTCAGGCTGGGCCAGGACTGAGTCACCTCCCTTTTGTGGTCTCAGCAACGTCACCGCCTGTCCCTCCGAGCAGTACATCTGACTGTCTCTCATGCACTCCACTAGAAGGGCCAGAGGGGCAGAACACCTGGGCAGGCCATGGAGGTGGTCTTGTCTGTTTTGCTGAAAGGCTGGGACTCAGACGGGCAGGTGGTGGGCTTCCAGCCAAGCCCTGGTCTATAGGCCATTTTTCATAAGCACAGTCAGTGAGGAGGCAAGGCTCCAAGAGGCTCAGCCACTTGGCTGGGATTCACAGCCTATCTGCCCACCTCCTAAAACTGTGGGAATCCTTCCCTACCTTGCTACTTCTCAAGAATTAACCAAAATGTCCATTAATTATAGTCTCATTTTCCAAAGACCAGGGCCAAAGGTACTGACTGAACAATTAACTTATATTTATCAAATGACTTAGTGAGATATTTTTAGGTCATGGTGGATCCCCAAGTGTTCACTCCCTACCAGACATTTATATGTGGCTCATTCATCAAGAGCCTACTGTGCACCTTTCTGATGGCTGAGGATTCATTCTGCAGTGAGAAAATCAGACAGGAATTCCTGACTTTATAGAGCTTCCATTCATTGGGGGAAAGGGGTAGGTGGGGGGAAACTGCAACAAATAGTTATCTAGGATGTTGGGTGACGGTGCCAGCTGTGGAGACAAGTGAGGCAGGGAAGTGGGAAGAAAAGGTGAAGGTCACAGTGATTTGATTTTATTTTATGTTTTTGAGACAAAGTCTCACTTTCTCCCCCTCAGCAGAGTGCCTTGGCATCATAGCTCACAGCAATGCAGACTCTTGGGCTCAAGTGATCCTCTTGCGTCAGCTTCCTGAGTAGCTGGGACTACCTGCACCCAACACAACGTCTGGCTATTTTACTTTTTTTTTAGAGACAGGGTCTCACTCTTGCTGAGGCTGGTCTCGAACTCAAGAGCTCAAGTGATCTACCAGCCTCAGCCTCCCAGCATGGCAGGATTACAGGCGTGAGCCACCATGCCCCACCCTGTCACAGTAATTTTAAATGGAGTAGTCCGTTGGGCTTCCTGAGAGGATCACACTTGTGCAGGTTCAAACCATGGAGGATTCTGTGGAGGGGACACAGCTCAAGCAAAACCCCTGAGGCATCTGGCATGTTCCAGGAAGAGCAAGGAGGTTAGCAGTGCTGCAAGAGTGATGCAAGTAGGGGGAGATGAAGAGAGAGGTCAGGGGAAGGTGTTCTGTAGGGTCATGTGGGTCAG